AATCAAACTGATCTTAATCGGATCTATAAAGTCTTGTCTACATGCAGGAATCTAAAAACTATAGATTTTCTCCATTCTGTGACATTTTTCAGGAGGCAAGACGAGGGATAGGTACTTTTTCCGCATCCTATAAAGTTTAATTGCTTGCGCCGTGTTTAGAACACCAGCGTAAGCGAGCGGTCGTCGCAAACGCGATGTAGACATTCACTATTTTTCAAAAAATTTTCTGTCGGCTTCCATGTTGTTTTCAACAAATCGAAGTAAGTTTTGGCGAAAAATTTCTTTAAAAGTTTATAAAAATATGTGTGGAAGTGGCGCGCGCTCGCATATAAGAAGCTCGAACGCTCGGGACCCAACGGTTCCAGCCCAGCGCGTTGGTATTCAAAGCGATGCATGGGCAATTTGAATTATTTCTACATGTCTCATAAAGAGATGAGTGGAAACTATCTCAAGTCTGTGAAGTCGTTGCTCGTAGGCAGGTATTTTTGCAAACACATTCTTCCGTGGAAGAACAGATATCTGCAAGACTGCGCATTAGCACTCAGAAAGGGTTTGCGTTTATTTAGCTGCAAGGCAAAATATGAGAGTACAAAAACTTATGCTTCCGCTTTTTTCGAGAACCACCACTCTTACTCTTCTAAATCCACATTCTTGAAGGCAGCGTCCTAGCAAATCTGGGTATATGGGGCTCTCACATGGACCGTGAATTTAGGGCCTTAACTAAGCCACTGCCCAAGCAGCAGCTCAGGTAGTGCTCTAACGGCTGAGATATTTCCCCGAAACTGGACCCCGCGATCGTATTCGCATGAATTCATGGCAGTTTCGCGCCAGGATCCACGCTTTGCGTCATGATTCCATGCGGAATACGATCCCGGGATCCAGTTTCGAGGCGAATGTCTCAGCCGTTAGTGCACCACGAGCTGCCGGTTGGGCAGTGGCTTAGTTAGGGCCCCAAAATTACTATCCACTTGAGAGTTCCATAGTCCAGATTTGCCGGGACGCTGCCGTTAAATAGAGGCTTGGATTCTGAAAAATGTCCTCAGTATTATCTTATATATAAAGCTGAATGTCTGTTTGTACAGTCGAGTAGATTTAGCGGTAATTATAGTGTGCTTGCACAGAAGGTGAAATGCGGTGAAATTTGCGCGTGAACAAGTAGCCACGCCAGTACTGCGGGTATTTTGCGCGCGCAATTGGCCGGCGTCACAGTCGAAGCTATTTCTTCACGCGCCAATTTTACCGCATTTCACCTTCTGTGCAAGCACACTATATTTACCGCTAAATCTACTCGACTGTATGTATGTATGTCTGTCTGTCTGTCTGTCTGTCTGTCTGTATGTATGTCTGTCTGTACGTATGTTCCGAATAGAAAATTCCATTTCTGAACCGATCCGGACCAAACTTGGCACACATACACTACGGGCCCCGGCGGGTGTCATAGGCTACTTTTCGTCATCGATCGATATCGATTTTATCGATTTTTATCGATTTTTTTGCTGAGTTCACCTACGGGGCTGGGAGTTGGCACAGGGGGGTAATCGAGCATGGGGATTCCGAATACAATATTGGTTTTCAGGATTATCGATTACTTTTATCGATTTTATCGATTTTTTTGCAAAGTTTGAGCTACGGGGCTGGGAGTTGGCACAGGGGGTAATCGAGCATGCTGATCATCCCCAAGGGGGGTGATCAGCATGCTCGATTACACCCCTGTGCCAAATTCCAGCCCCGCAGGTTAAACTTTACAAAAAAAATCGATAAAATCGATAAAAGTCATGGACGATCCTGAAAACTAATGTTGTGTTCGTAATCAGCATGCTCGATTACCCCCCTGTGCAAAATCCCAGCCTCGCATGTCAAAATTTACAAAAAATCGATAAAATCAATAAAAGTAATCGATAATTCTGAAAACTAATATTGTATTCGGAATCCCCATGCTCACTTCCCCCCTGTGCCAACTCCTAGCCCTGTAGGTGAACTCTGCAAAAAAATCGATAAAAATCGGTAAAATCGACATCGATCGATAACGAAAAGTGGACTGTGACACCCGCCGGGGCCCGAAGTGTATGTGTGCCAAGTTTGGTCCGGATACGGCGGAGCCGGGTAAGCCAGCTAGTTTGATTATATGACACAAGTTTGAGCTCATGTTTTCAGTGCTTTTTCGTGATAGTGGTTCGAAATTCAGCGCCTCTTATTTTGGCGCACTTTGTAGCGTTTGTGTTCATGTCACCCCACTGTGCGATTTCTTGAACAATTCTGAGGTTTCCCAGCTTGCAAGAAAATGGTCAGTAGTCGAAGTGGCCAGTCCGAGAAAAGCTGCGTACCTTTCAATACCAAGTAGCATAGAACGCTGATTTCAGATTTGTCTTTCGTTTCTTTCGGCTGAACTCCTTTGTAGGCGAAGTTATAAAAGGTTTTATTGTGAAAAATATCACATGTAAAGTTTGCAAAAAATTATTGCCTTTTTATCATTTGTAGGCATGGATTAAACGAAATAACCTAGCTGCATGTTTCAACCCGGTATCGAGCCGAACATGGACGAATCTGCACTTTGCGCGCGCGATTTCATAGCAAAGTGATGGCTTTTGATGGCTTATAGCTCCGTCCACAAAAGCGCTCAGCAGGTAAGGAAGACATATTTAGCACGTGCTATTCTACATTCAATGGTAGCTTGTTTAGACTGACCATTTCGACTTCTGGCCATTCATTTGTTAGTCATTGACGGATGCCCTTCAAATGACGCATTCGACATGCGAGTTTTCGAGGGCGTCATATCTCAATCTCTCTCAAAAATTTTGTCTTAGAGGTTATTGAGTCAAACTTTGTCGACGCGTTGCCTCCAATTCCGTCTTGATGACTTAGACTCAGGTTGCGCACGTCTTCATTTTTGCATTGAAGTAAAAGTTTGATTTTCAACAGCCTTCAAAGATTCTTCGTTTTTTATGTTACTACAATCAACCAGTTTTTTAATCGAAGCCTATGTAACCCAATGATGAGATCGTTACGTTCAAGAGAAGAATCATAAGAAAAGTTGCAAGACTCAAGTGCCAACCTAATAAATGGGTTAGGCACAACTCTACAAAAGAAAGGCAGGTTCTCTAGACTTTTGCTTCAGAGTTTCCAAACTGCTCCTTTTTCAATTAGTCGTAGACAAGCTGATTTTCTGTATCACGTCACTAGAGAAAAAACTTCGTATCACATTTACACTCGTTGTAAAAAAGTCGTACAGTACAGTAGCGGGCAATCGCAGAAAATTGACCTCAAGGAATATAGGAAATAAAAAAGGAATATAGAAAATAAAAAACTCCTCAGACATGCTGACTCGCTCCAGAATGTTACATTATAGGGCTGAAGTGGACAGCAAAAAGAAGGGAATGTTTATCTGAGTCACAAAGAGGGAGGAGTGTCTATCATTAGTGACCCAAGCATAATTACACTTAAAAGGGAGCGATCCCAACTTAATGTGGCGAATTGGAATGAACCGCAGACCATTAGATGCGTCTTGATGAGCTGATTCCAAATCTACCTTCCTTATCTGCGCTGCCGTTATCTGGAAAAGTTATAAAAGCTCAAAAATTTGGAGTCATTGGGATTTTCATGCATAATATGCTCTAAAACCCAACTTGGAAGTGCACGACTAACATGATATTGAGTTTACTGCTTTCAAGGAATGCTCAGATCCAAAGAAACACAGATAAGTGTTTTTGAACAGCTGAAAAGCAACTAAAGTTCATTGGTAAAAGCTATGAGCAATGAAAAGTCCAAATTTGGTAAATGTACAGCGCCATACCTCGAAAATTAGTTGTTCAAAAACATTTCACATGTTCTCTGGTCATGAAACCTGGTTGTCTTGTATTCATGAACTTTCTTGTGAGCCACGCAGGTTTGTTAAGATATTTATCAGGTCTAACGTTTCGGCAATAATGCCTTCCTCAGAGACCTGAGAGAAAGTCTCACACTAGTTTTTTGCCCTATATGATCAAATCTCTCCTCTTGACTAGCCTAGTTCGACGCCCTAGGAGCAAACAAGCGGAGACATTACACGACAAGTAGCATACCAAGATCTCCACCGACAGCGCAACGACGACGTTCAAACTCCACTGGTGGTAAAAGACTATAGCTGACAGATATGGACAGCTTAAGTAGTAGTGGAGATGATATCTATAAGTGACAGTATGACAGAAATGGCATCAAATCACTTGTGATGGAGAGCTGTTCATTCTTCCCGTTCAGTTTCGGTTCACGCGAGATAATGTATGCCGCTTCAAGCGCTCTGCGAGCAGCAATTTTTGACTCATAACCTAGGATGATGCACCTGATATCGAAGTCGTCGCCGTGATGGTCTATTTTCCTGTGTTTCCCTAGCGGACTGGCCATGCTTTCCCGCCTCTTACTCGCCAAGTGCTCATTAACACGCACGCTGAGTTGCCGGTCAGTCCCCTATGTAGGTAGCGTGGCATGCCAGACATTCAATTTCGTAGACAATGCCAAACTTAGCACAGTCTCCCATTTTTCCGTTAGGGCAAACGACGCACTCTTTCGTAATACGAGCTGTATCGTATAAACGATTACGCACTAGTTGTCGCTCAATGTTGCTTCGAGGGATATTCACGAGAAGAACATCTTGCTCCAACTGGTCTTGTATTATACACGTTTGAAACGCGTGCTTTACTCTATCGGAAATGAATGGTAAGCATAATGGAATCCTAGCACCAGTCTGGCGATTTTCAGCACTTGCTATAAAACGTTCTAGAATGTCTGGATTTTGATGAGAAGTAGCCATTGGAGGCTGCTATCTCATTTGTCAGCTTCAGGGACTAGTGTCGTTCACTCTCCCCATTGCAGACTTCGATTGCCGTTTTATACATGTTCCGCAATACTGCTCGCTTAACGGCGACCGGATGGGCCGATTTCGGTGCAAAATGATGTTCTTCGAGCTCTCTTTGCGATACCATTTCACTCGTATCGTACCGTTATCAAGCAACGAGCAGCAATTATGCATGGCTTATTTCGGTAAGAGTTAAGAGGTAAATGCCACTAACGTGACAAAGTAGATTAGATAAATCAGTTTTTTTTGAGTTCCGAAACTAAAATTTTAGTACTTGTAAAACATCATTCGCGAAACGGCGCCACGAAGAACACATGTCCGTTGATCATCTGCTCAACTTTACTAATTTTTTTTGGTTTTTTAAACTTCTGAATTTTCTAGCTTTTCAAAGTATGATAGTGTTCGGAAGTTAAAGAAATTTCAGCTAATCAGACTTTGCCTTATCTCACCAGAAGATTACCGTAGTTCTACGTGAGACTGAAACTCAAGCAAAATACAGAGTGTTCCAAAAGTAAGTACACACTTTTCAATCGTTGATATCTCTCTTCCCATTGAGTCTTCTTCCGCCATTCAAGTACCATTCTGTAGAGGAGGTATTATCTTAGATTTACAGTGACGAAATTTCAGATCGCTCTTTACTGTAGGATTACGGTAAGAATTTTCAGCATGTGGAACCATTGTGAAACATGCCATCTGACAAAATTTTCTTCAAAAAATCTGAAAAATCGTGTGCTAGGGTTTCCGCGCACGTTGATTCCACCACACAACTTTTCGTGAGTGTTTTCAACCTTTTTTGACGATGTAATCACATTTCTTACAAATGCTGGGAATTCGCTTATAACGGTTCCTGGGATAACTTTGAAAAGAACATCACAGTATGGTAAAAATTTCAAATTCGAAATCAGCGGCTTCCATTACCGTACAGTATAAGAGTTTGGTATAAGTTATAGTATAAAAGTTTTTGGCTCGTTGGTTCTGTTTCGAGACAAAATGTGGCCTCCAATGGCCTGAAATCCTTGTCGAAGATCCCACAGTAATCCTACAGTGATGAAGAGTGATCGCTAAATCGCTCGATACTGTAAATTCAAGTTAAAGCCTCCTGTACGGAACGGTATTTGATTAGCAAAAAAAGACCCAACGAGAAAAAAGATATAAACGATTGAAAAGTGTGTGCTTACTTTTTGGACACCCTGTAATACCATGTCCTTAACCTCAAATATACTCTCGAGTCATCTGTAACTTAATATGTGTAATGCACATGTTGCGCCTTACTTGACGAACTTGCAAGATTAGGACCTCCTCATTTCCAGTGAGTTCTCCTTGTTTTCTTGTATCTTTTGATTCGATGGTTATGTATTAGTTAGCACAACACATATCTATAGTTTGTTACGCTAGAAAAGATTTCGGTGAGGAGTTACTAGTAAGGTTGTTTTTTGTTTTTTCTGTTTTTTTAAATTTTTTTTCATAATTTTTCTTGTCTTGACCTACCGTATGACATTAACGATCAAATCAAAGAGCACCTTTTCATTCCCACTTCTTAATCTTCACAGCCAAGACTAGGACAGCTCTTGAACGATACCGTTTTGGAATAGAGCCATCGTGATATTGACAATGCAGAAAACGGTTTGACAACAACATGATAAAGGAGTGCCCGCGATAGGGTGTAAGGTTGTTCTCATTCTTTACTCGTGCTGCCACAAGTGTGGTTCTTTCATTCAAGGTGGGCTGGGTATATCTGTCACCTTCTGAGGCACGCGCTATACTTCTCAAGGAGTATACCATGGTGATGATCGATAATCAAATACGTGTAAAACCAGAGATTTTTGTCGCCGATGTTGGCGATCGCCCATCGCCGATATAAGCGACTGGCGATCGCCACTGTACTTTACATACCTATTGACGACAAACATTACCACACGTCTCGATACATATCATACGTGTAGTCGTCGAAAAATGGCGATCGTCAATCGCTACGACTGGCGACCGCCAGTCGTGGCGATTGGTAGTTGGATGCGTATCGATTGGAGATGTGGTAACTTGTTAACGATCAATACCTATAAAGGACACAGTCGCCAATACTGGCGATTGGCAATCGCCAGTCGTAGCGATCGATCGCCACTTGGCGACTACAATTTGATATGTATTGATTGGGCATGTAAACTCCTGCCAGCAATCGATGGTTATCTAATGTGCAGTCGCCAGCTTTAGCGACTGGAGATCGCCAGTCATGACGATTGGCGATCGCCCTCGCCATGCTATAGTCTTCCAGGAGTACAGCGCCTGCCTGAGATTGCGAGGATGCAACCTCCCTTTTACAACTTAAACTATGGTATCGCTGCTGTTCGTGACGACCCATTCTTTAACGATATTCAAATCTAGCCGGCTTTCCCGGTCCAGCTCGGGTCATTGTGCGATAGGGAGAACGCAAATGCAGGTTAGGGCCGCATGCACTAACATCCCCGCGGGGAGGGGATCGCTGCTTGAAAGAAAGCCTTATATTTCGAAACTCCAGATACCTGGATTTCACGTTGTGTACCTATCCGTAAGTATTCCTACTACCCTTCACTATGAACATGTTGAAGAGGAGCGAGAAGCTGTACGAACCGCATTTTCCAGCTTTAGTATGATCCCTGATGATCCCCGGCGCTTTTCTTCAAAGCCATTTTTCTTTCTCCGAAGTCAACGAAAACCTTCCAAAGTTGTGCAGATTATCTAAACCGACAGTGCTAAGCATGTTGCTGATTAGAACAAATGATGTTTTGAAGTCATGAAATTTTCGATGATCCACAGGTCGAAATTTGAGGTTTAGCGAAAAATTCGACTTTTCAAAAACTCATTTGTTCTCATCAGCAACATGCTTAGCACTGTTGTGTTAGATGTCCAGTACAACTTTGGAAGGTTTTCGTTAACTTCGGAGAAAGAAAAATGACTTTAAAGAAAAGCGCCGGGGATCATCAGGGATCGTACAAAAGCTGGAAAATGCGATTCGTACAGCTTCTCGCTCCTGTTCAACATGTTCATAGTGAAGGGTAGTAGGAATACTTACGGATAGGTACACAATGTGAAATCCAGGTATCTGGAGTTTCGAAATATAAAGCTTTCTTTTAAGCTGCAATCCCCTCCCCGCGGGGAGGTTAGTGCATGCGGCCCTTAGTTGTCAGCCTTCCCCCCCCCCCTCTCCGCCCTTTCACCGTCTCTCCTTCCATGTCATAGGCGACTTACCTTGGGACATACCTCTTCGATCACCGCTCGTTTACTTGGCTAAAAAATTGCACTTTATTTCCTTAGAAAAACGCAAATAATATCGCAAATAATAAATTGATACAAGAACCAAAACGCAGCAAAAGTAGTCCACAACCTGCACCATGACCGGAAACATAAGTGTGCACTTTCAAGACAACTAGTTCAACGGCGGGCGTTTCTATAACAAACTAACAACCTAATGAACATCCTCACAAACTTGAGTTTTATTTATAATTATTATTAGGTTGTCCCAAAAGTAAACTTTTTCTGAATAACTCAAGCTATTTTTGTTTTCCCAGTATTTTTAGGGCATCATTCGATAGAGCAAATCAAGCTCTACAAAATGACCGCCAAGGGTTTGCCTAAGTCGCCTTCCATATAAAGTTCAAAGCAAAATCAAAAAAAATTTTGTCATCTGAAAATTGGATTCCTGCGACAAAGAATCCTGCAGACCTCCAACTTGGTCATTATACAGTAGGCATATAGTAGTACAAAAATATGCCTTTACTGGATTTTTCCGAGCATAGAAAGCGAGAAACAAAAATTGCCCAAAATGCAAACTCCGCCCTCAGCCCCTCCCATATATGTCATTGTATACTACAAGCCTTTCTAAGTATAATTTCAAAACCTTACCCCTGTATGTGCTCTTATAATTGAGAAATGCCAAGTCTTACATGAAAAAAATGAAAAAAGTGGCATTTTGGCATTTAGAACCATATTTGTTTCTCAGTTTTCAGCCCCGGAAAAAATCCACCAAATAAATTTTTGGGTACTACTATGTGTATACTTTATGAAGACCAAGTTGGAAGACCGTAGGAATTTCCTAGAAGGAGATCCGATTTTTAGGGTAGCCGAAAAATTTTGATTTTTGGCTCCAAAATTTACCTAGGTTACGAGTGGTGGAACTTTGGTAATCTTTTTGTAGAGCTTGCTGCGCTCTACCGAACGGTAGCCTAAATCCATTAAAAAAAACAGCTCAAGTTATTTGAAAATAGGGTTTACTTTTGGGACAACCTAATAGATTGAATGAGTTGGAAAGAATTTTCTGCTCATGTTGAATCCTTTCCTTATCATGTTCCTACTTTCTGTGACTCAAATATTGAGTTACCAGTGCGTCACTTCTGCTTCGCAGAGGCTCTCACTGGCCCTACTTATTGTATGAATTACTCATTTCGGCATAATAATGACACTGAAATTTACCGCGCTATGCAGACTATTACGGATGATTTGTAATAACCATTCATACATACAAGGGAACGATCCCAACCCATGATGGCGAACTGGAATGAGCCGCATGGCATTAGATGCGTCTTGACGAGCTGATATCAGATCTATCTTTCATATGTGTGATGCCGTTCTCTGAAAAAAGTTATGAGCGCTTAAATGTGTGAAGACATTGAGGGTTTTGATGCAAGATGTGTTTTGAAATGCAACTAGAAAGTGACTAGCATGATATTGAGTGTATTGATTTCAAAGAATTAAAGAAAATACAAAGAAGTGTTTTTGATCAACTAATTCTTGAGGTACAGCGCGATATAGTTGTTAAATTTGGACTTTTTGTTGCTCACAGCTTTCACCAAAACTTAGTATGTTTTTTAGTTGTTTGAAAATAATTCCTGGTGTTTCTTATGAATGTAAGCATGTTTTTAGTTGTTCGGAAGTACTTCTTAGTGTTTTCTATAATGTAAGCATTCCATAAAATCAGTACACTCAATATCGTGCTAGTCATGCACTCCTAAAGTCGATTTTAAATCGCATTACTCATTGAAATTCCAATGACTTTATATTTTTAACCGCTCATAACTTTTTCCATGGAACGGCATCGCAGATACGGAAGTTAGATTTGGAATCAGCTCATAAAGACACTTCTAATGATATGCTTCATACCAATTCGCCACCTTATGTTGGGATCGTGTTCCCTTGTTGAGCTTTCTCGTGTGAGATCGGTATTTTCGCGTAAATAAAACTTTTCTCAAAATAGTGAATGCGATTTTGAATTTGTTTTTGGACTTTTCATGGCTTGATAGTCGCCATAAGGACTACCAACAAAGTGAGCCACATCGCTGTGCAAAAATTTTTTTAAATGATCGGGTAAAACTTTGGCAAAATGAACATCTACGCGACTGACTCTTTTTTAATATTCGTAAAGTAATTGACTTTAGTTTGATATTCTGGACTGAATTCTATGGCTCCCACATTAGCTTGTCAAATATATCTATAACTTCGCAAAAAGTGTGGTACAGGCCTAAGTGTGGTACAGGCCTAATTTTGCTGGCCAGAAGCCAAGAGGATCCGTTTATCGCGCCATTTTTGAGGGATCCACTCAGCGGATCAGCTCGTGCTTTTGCGAAATTTCGGCCAACCTAGCAGACAATTTTTTCCTTTGTTTGATTTTCACAATTTTTAGAGATGGAAGATGACTATGACATTACAAAAACGGAGATGTGGTTAGATCGAGTGCATCGGAACCTCACGTTTGCTTTCAAATGTCAAGTTTTTCGTGTCTGATATTATATACATTTAGATTCAAAACGAATACATCTAAGACTACTACTACAACAACTACTACTACCGTCAATAACGAGTAAGTCTGCTAATGCTATGCTTGTTGCACAGCTCTATCTTTAAAATAAAGCACAAGATCTGTGAAGAAAAGGGTAATGATATGAGAACCTACTGTCACTTCGCATTCACACATTCAACATCTGGCGTTTTTACTTTGGTTGCGTCGTTCGATACAACTCGAGTTCACCCCGTCTTTGTTTGCTGCTGACTCAAAGAGGGAGAAGAAGCAATATTCATGCTTGTTTGCTTGTATCGATATGCTAACGATTTTTGGTTAAAAACAAATGCAACCTCATATGAGATCAATGAAATCAAGTTGAGCGATGTTTTACCATGCGTACAAGACCCTCTCCAACTGAATAACAAAAGATTTATCCAAGCCTTTCTTTACGTAAGAATTCCATACTTGGAAGATGTTGAAAAGTTTTACGCAAGGAGTATTGGAAGAATCAAAGGTGTATGTGTGTGTGTGTTTCATATTTACACAGGGAAGGAAACTTCGTGACCCCAGCCATTCATAATGGTATGTATATCAAAAAATGCGCCTTTTGATGCTGGTTCGGATACGGTTTTCCATATCTGCGAAACGAGAAAGTGGATGGAGTTATGGTTATTTTTTCAAAAACGAATTGCGCCACTGCGGAGGGTGAAAATCATTTTAAAAAATTTATCTTTCTTCTTCAAATGCTGAATATGGTTTAGATAGGTATAAATACAATGTCACAAGTTTCGAGATTCTCCTCAATAGCTTCAAACCATACCCTCGATACATAGAGCCATGTACTCTGGTAACCTTCACTTTGAGCCACATAAAAGAACCCAACTTCACTTGGAAGAAAACAGGAGTCATCCGGGGCGTTAAGTAAAAACGAGGAACTCCGCTTAAATCTCGCGTAGAGAGCATGAGAATGGTGGTCTACCTCGTTAATGAGTGTTTTGCAACGATTAGGACATTCAGTGCTCCTCGTCGTGTCATGATGATCAGAATCATCTTATATATAAAGCTGAATGTCTGTTTGTCTGTATGTCTGTCTGTCTGTCTGTCTGTCTGTATGTATGTCTGTGTGTACGTATGTTCCGAATAGAAAATTCCATTTCTGAACCGATCCGGACCAAACTTGGCACACATACACTTCGGGCCCCGGCGGGTGTCATAGGCTACTTTTCGTCATCGATCGATATCGATTTTATCGATTTTTATCGATTTTTTTGCTGAGTTCACCTACGGGGCTGGGAGTTGGCACAGGGGGGAAGTGAGCATGGGGATTCCGAATACAATATTAGTTTTCAGAATTATCGATTACTTTTATTGATTTTATCGATTTTTTGTAAATTTTGACATGCGAGGCTGGGAGTTGGCACAGGGGGGTAATCGAGCATGGGGATTCCGAATACAATATTGGTTTTCAGGATTATCGATTACTTTTATCGATTTTATCGATTTTTTTGCAAAGTTTGAGCTACGGGGCTGGGAGTTGGCACAGGGGGGTAATCGAGCATGGGGATTCCGAATACAATATTGGTTTTTCAGGATTATCGATTACTTTTATCGATTTTATCGATTTTTTTGCAAAGTTTGAGCTACGGGGCTGGGAGTTCGCACAGGGGGGTAATCGAGCATGGGGATTCCGAATACAATATTGGTTTTCGGGATTATCGATTACTTTTATCGATTTTATCGATTTTTTGCAAAGTTTGAGCTAGGGGGCTGGGAGTTGGCACGAGGGGGTAATCGAGCATGCTGATCATCCCCAAGGGGGTGATCAGCATGCTCGATTACACCCCTGTGCCAAATTCCAGCCCCCTAGCTCAAAATTTCAAAAAATCGATAAAATCGATAAAAGTAATGGACGATCTTGAAAACTAATATTGTGTTCGTAATCTGCATGCTCGATCACCCCCCCCTGTGCAAACTCCCAGCCCCGCAGGTCAAACTTTACAAAAAAAATCGATAAAATCGATAAAAGTAATGGACGATCCTGAAAACTAATATTGTGTTCGTAATCAGCATGCTCGATTACCCCCCTGTGCAAAATCCCAGCCTCGCATGTCAAAATTTACAAAAAATCGATAAAATCAATAAAAGTAAGCGATAATTCTGCAAACTAATATTGTATTCGGAATCCTCATGCTCACTTCCCCCCTGTGCCAACTCCTAGCCCTGTAGGTGAACTCTGCAAAAAAAATCGATAAAAATCGGTAAAATCGACATCGATCGATAACGAAAAGTGGACTGTGACACCTGCCGGGGCCCGAAGTATATGTGTGCCAAGTTTGGTCCGGATACGGCGGAGCCGGGTAAGCCAGCTAGTAACTTATAATAACGGGCTAAGGGTGCTTACGTTTTTTTTGTGTGTATGTATGTGTGTGTCTGTCTGTCCGTTACGAAATTCAAGGAGAGTGTTCTAGCCAACGTCCGGATCCCAAATATTGCATGGCGCATGCTAGCAGCATGAAAGCTATGCAAAAGCACGAGCGGATCCGTTGAGTGGATCCCTCAAAAATTGCTCTTCAAGCGGATCCACTTGGCTTGTGGCCAGCAACATTGGGCCTGTAACACCACTTTTTGCGAAGTCATGGATATGATTAACAAGCTAATGTGCAAGCCGTGGACTTTAGCATAAAAATTGAACTCAAACTGATTGCTCTACGAAAATGGCGCCGAAAAAAAATTAGTTGCGTAAATGTTCAATTTGCCATGATTTTACCTGATCATTTGAGAAGATTTTTGCACAGAGATGTAGCCCACGGTGATAATTATCGTTATGGCGGCTATCAGACCATAAAAAGTCCAAAAACCGATTCAAATTTGCATTTACTCCTCTCGAAAATGTTTCATTCACGCGAAAATACCGATTTCGCACGAAAAAGCTCTTGGAATGAGTAGTTGTTTACAAATCATTCGTGATAGCCTGCATAGAGCTGTGAGTTTCAGTGTCATTATTATGCGAGAATGAGTAAGACATACAGAAAATAGGGCCAGTGCGAGCCTCTGCGAAACAGAGGTGACGCACTAGTGATGTATAAGGTTGCAGGGTTTCGCTGAGACCCCGCGGAGATCTACGACCACAGCCAAATGCCCCGTCAGCTCAGGTCTGTCCCCGCTGCTCGTCTGCGTCTCCCCGCGCTGCGCGCTATCTCGGTACTCCAAACGCGGGGCGCGGGCATTTGGCTCTGGTACCCTTTTCTTCGCTGTCCCAAAACCAATTTCAGCAAGCTATATATCATTTTGGAGCTTCTAGACCTCTACTTTCACGCTGACAACGGTTCAAAATCACCAAACCAATTTTTCGATTTAATCGAGAAATTTGGCAAAAACCTTGGTCTCGAGAAATTTTGGTTTTTCCTCTAGTTTAGCTCTTTTCACGGTTTTTTCGTGCATTCTATAACTCTTGCTTCTGTTCATAATGTAGACAACCACCCAGCCCTTATCTCTTCGACAATGGAAAAATCTTTGGTGTAAAATCGTAAAAGGTGCGTTTTTCTTCACCTTGTTTTGTTTCAGTGCTTTCGCAGCGATTTTCTTCCAACTTGGGCCACTACTGCTCAGAACAATAAGCGCAAAAATCCAAACAACGTCCCAGGAAACAGGAAAGTCAATGCGGGTGTAAAAATTTAAAGGACGCATCAAAAACTAGATATGACCTTCACGCGCATTTCGACTTGGTAAAAAAGAAATTTCGCGTTTTCATAACTAGTTTCTTTCTTGTTTGACTTCTTCTTGATAATCACTACATCCAAAACATAGTTTTATTTGAAACAATCACAAAAAAATAAGCTTTTCTCCTTTTCCCCCGTGGTCGAAAACCTGCACTTCGAAAAGCCGCCAAATAAAAGGCTTCAAACTAATCGCAGCGTTTTTTTCGGTTTCTAGCAGTTTCTTTTGCTTTTGATATCTGTTTTGCGTCTGTTTTTCCTTCTTTGATCTCCTATAAAGAACCTTCACTTTTCTGAGGGGCAGATGTTCAAACAACCTTCACTTTTGACGACCTGACTCTAGACTATCGAAGGTATGCTTCAAACGGTAAAATAGATTAAATTGGGTGATTTTAAATACCTAAAAGTACGCAAATTTTTTTGCGAAAAAAGTTCATAACTTTCATACACTTTCATACAGACATAGCCTTCAAATAATGGTTTCGCAAATTTCGAGCACAGATTTAGAATCAGCGTTTCGAGGTGCACCTTATGGTGTACATCGCATTCCACATGGCCGGGATCACCAAGTATTTTTCCTTGTTAGACGTGCATTTGTTGCACAAATAATATCATCTATGACTTAATAATAACGGGCTAAAGGTTGTTTACGTCTGTTTGTCTGTGTGTCTGTGTGTACGTCTGTCTGTCACGAAATTCGTAGAGCGAGTTCCAGCCAACCTTCTGAGCCCAAATTTTGGACAGCGGATGCTGCCAACGTGAGAGTCCAATATACAGATGCACGAGCGGATCCCTTGAGTGGATCCCTCGAAAAATGCGCGTGAAAAGGGTCCACTTGGCTTTTGGCCAGTAAAATTGAGCCTGTAGCACAACTTTTTGCAAAGCCACTGATATGTTTGACAAGTTAATGTGCAAGCCATGGACTTGAGCCTAAATAAGTGAACTAAAGTTTATTACTTTGCGAAAACTGCGTCAAAAAGGATAGATTACGTGAATGGTTAATTTGCTAAGATTTTACCCGATCGTTTGACAAGATTTTTGCACAGATATGTAGTCCACGGTGATTATGGCATCTTATCGCGAATATCAAGCCATGAAAAGTCCAAAAACCAATTCAAATTTGCATTTGTTCTTTCGAGAAAAGTTTGGTTCTGCGAAATTACCGATTTCATATGGAAAAGCTTTTGGAATGAATAGTTGTTTACAAATCATTCGTGATAGTCCGCATAGCGCGGTGAGTTCCAGTGTCATTATTGTGCGAGAATGAGTAAGACATACAGATAGTAGGTAGGGTCAGTGCGAGCCTCTGCGAAGCAGAGGTGAAGCACTGGTAATTTATAATGACGGGCTAAGGTTGGTTAC